TATTACCACTGATACGACTGAGGTACTCCAACGCTAACCGATGTGTCACTCTATCTATCGTGGAAGGCATTTTATACCTACTGCTAGGTATTAATAAGAGGCCGCTCTACTGGAGAAGATGCCTTTTGCAGCTGCTCACTGAACTACAGATGCTGCTAAGTGAAGATAGTTCTGGTCCTTTTTCTGCTGTTAGGACATAGGGTCCTCTTCTACCTTCAAAACCGTTGACCATCTTCTGTAACCCTGGAAAGGGGCCCTTACAAGGTGCTACCAGCCGGGCCAGCTGGACCAAGGTTTTTTAAAGAGGTGTTACTCCTCCATCACTCACCCTTTGTCCTGGCTTGTGACAGGCAGAGCCTGGTTTCCCAAATGTTCGGCCCAGGATGGCAGGTTTTAAGTTTTGATATACAGTCAGGTCCAGAAATATTGGGACATCGACACAATTCTAACATCTTTGGCTCTATACACCACCACAATGGAGTTGGAATGAAACAAACACGATGTGCATTAACTGCACACTGTCAGCTTTAATTTGAGGGTATGTACATCCAACTCAGGTGAACGATGTAGGACTTACAGCAGTTTGTATATGTGCCTCCCACTTGTTAAGGGACCAAAAGTAATGGGACAATTGGCTTCTCAGCTGTTCCATGGCCAGGTGTGTGATATTCCCTCATTACCCCAATTACAATGTGCAGATAAAAGGCCCAGAGTTCATTTCAAGTGTGCTATTTGCATTTGGAATCTGTTGCTGTCAACTCTCAAGATGAGATCCAAAGAGCTGTCACTATCAGTGAAGCAAGCCATCATTAGGCTGAAGAAACAAAACAAACCCATCAGAGAGATAGCAAGAACATTAGGCGTGGCCAAAACAACTGTTTGAAACATTCTCAAAAAGAAGGAATGCACTGGTGAGCTCAGCAACACCAAAAGACCTGGGAGACCATGGAAAACAAGTGTGGTGGATGACCGAAGAATTCTTTCCCTGGTGAAGAAAACACCTTTCACAACAGTTGGCCAGATCAAGAACACTCTCCAGGACATAGGTGTATGTGTGTCAAAGTCAACAATCAAGAGAAGACTTCACCAGAATGAATACAGAGGGTTCACCACAAGATGTAAACCATTGGTGAGCTTCAAAAACAGGAAGGCCAGATTAGAGTTTGCCAAACAACATCTAACAAAGCCTTCACAGTTCTGGAACAAGATCCTATGGACAGATGAGACCAAGATCAACTTGTACCAGAGTGATGGGAAGAGAAGAGTATGGAGAAGGAAAGGAATTGCTCATGATCCTAAGCATACCACCTCATCAGTGAAGCATGGTGGTGGTAGTGTCATGGCGTGGGCATGTATGGCTGCCAATGGAACTGGTTCTCTTGTATTTATTGATGATGTGACTGTTGACAAAAGCAGCAGGATGAATTCTGAAGTGTTTTGGGCAATATTATCTGCTCACATTCAGCCAAATGCTGCAGAACTCATTGGACAGCACTTCACTGCAGATGGACAATGACCCAAAGCATACTGCAAAAGCAACCAAAGAGTTTTTGAAGGGACAGAAGTGGAATGTTATGCAATGGCCAAGTCAATCACCTGACCTGAATCCCATTGAGCATGCATTTCACTTGCTGAAGACAAAACTGAAGGGAAAATGCCCCAAGAACAAGCAGGAACTGAAGACAGTTGCAGTAGAGGCCTGGCAGAGCATCACCAGGGATGAAACCCAGCGTCTGGTGATGTCTATGCGTTCCAGACTTCAGGCTGTGATTGACTGCAAAAGATTTGCAACCAAGTATTAAGAAGGGAAAGTTTGATTTATGATTATTATTCTGTCCCATTATTTTTGGTCCCTTAACAAGTGGGAGGCACATATGCAAACTGCTGTAAGTCCTACACCGTTCACCTGAGTTGGATGTATATACCCTCAAATTAAAGCTGACGGTCTGCAGTTAACGCACATTGTGTTTGTTTCATTCCAACTCCACTGTGGTGGTGTATAGAGCCAAAGATGTTAGAATTGTGTCGATGTCCCAATATTTCTGGACCTGACTGTATTAATTGCTGTAAAAGAATTAAAACAGTATATCAACATAGGTTAAAAAGAATAGTTGCTGGTATGTCTAGTTTAATGAAAAGAAGGACTAGTGGTGACATGATAGCAATGTTCCAATATCTAAGGGCCCCACAGAAGGGGGAGTCAACCTCTTCTCCGAAGTACCTGAAGGCAGGACAAGCAGCAATGGAGGGAAACTAATCAAGTAAAAAACAACAACTAGAACTAAAGGAGAAATTTCTTGACAGTTAAGACAATTAATCACTGGAACAACTTGCCTCCAGAAGTTGTGAATGCTCCAACACTGCAAGTTTTTAAGAAGAGATTGGACAACCATTTGTCTGAAATGGTTATAGGGTTTCCTGCCTGAGCAGGGGATTGGACTCAGTGGTGGGATTAAATTTTTTTTACTACTGGTTCTGTGGGCGTGGCTTGATGGGCGTGGCCAGGGTGTGTGACAGGCAGCACTTGGCCTCCTTCACCCTCCCTGGGAGCAAAAACCGGATGTGGAGGGGGATGCACTGTCTTCCCCGTGCCCCATTTTGGGCCTGACCTGGCTGAATCCCACCACTGGTTGGACTAGAAGACCTCCAAGGTCTCTTCAAAGTCTGTTATTCTGATCCCCCTTTAAAAATATGTATTTTTTTTACATATGTAAGAGGAACCAGCCAGCCAAGCTACAGATTGTGCAATAGTTGAGACTCCAGATAACCTTGCTAAAATAAATGAGAATTTTAAACAATGTGCAGGGAATGCAGTAGTTTAGTAATTCAAATTCTGGTACAATGACCAAGGTGGGCAATAAGCAATGCATTTTGCCTGCTACTAAGTCAGTTAATTTGTAAAATCCCAAACAGCATGTCTAAGAAATAAAAATAGGTCTGCAGTATAAACACCAGGATTTAGAAAAACTAATTTTATATTGTTAAGTGCAGGAGAAAGGTTTCATAGTTAATATCTATGACTTGAACTTTTTATTTGATAAAGCTGACAATATATGAAGCAAATGCACAAAATGTAGTATATTACAGAATGTAATTCTGAGAACATTCACATTTCCAACAGCAAATGCATATTTTTGACTTCTTTACTAGGAAAAGGAAACAAAATTGTAATTTTATTTTTAAAATAAATATACTGATTTTAATTGTATCTGTAAAATATTAATATGCATTAAAGTGTTGGTTCAGTTCCAAGCTGGGAGAAAGGCGCTGGAAATAAAATGGAGGCTGATTGGAAAGAAAGATTCTGTTTATTGATGAACAGAATCAGCCTGTGATTCTGGGACAGTCCGCACTGCATATCGGACATTAATACAATGAACGAGTCCAGAGATATTTCACAAGAAGAGTCCTCCTCCACTCCTCTGCTTGCAGCAAAATACCTTATGCCACCAGACTTGAAATTTTGGGCTTAAACAACTTAGAACTTCGCTGTCTTCAGTCTGATCTAAGAATAGTACATAAAATCATCTGCTACAATGGCCTACCAGCCAATGAATACTTCAACTTCAACCAAAACAATACAAGAGCACACAATAGATATAAAGTCATGGTAAACCGATCCAAACTAGACTGCAGAAAATATGATTTCAGTAACAGAGTTGTCAACGCCTGGAATACACTACCTGACTCTGTGATTTCTTCCCCAAATCCCCAAAACTTTAACCTTAGACTGTCTACTGTAGACCTCACCCCATTCCTAAGAGGTCTGTAAAGGGCATACATAAACACACCAGCATGCCTACCGTCCCTGTCCTAATGTTTTCTTTCATTCGTATCCTTTTCATGTATTTATAATTATGTTTACACTTGTATCTGTCATAAAATACATGCTTGATGAAATAAATAAATAAAATAAAATAAAATAAAATAAAATAAAATAAAATAAAATAAATAAACGGACCTTCTTTCTTAAGCAGCCTCCATTTTATTCTCGGCTTGGACCTGGACCTGGATTTTTCTTCCAACAAAAGGTAAAAACTGATTACTAATTATAAAATGATGCTGCATGTTAAAAGTACTACAGAGGCCTAAAATATCAGATAGATAAAAAAGTAACTGTACATTTTATATTATCTTTGAACTGATGAAATCAATTTTTGCTCTTCGAAGTAAAATCATAAAAGGAAGAAAAGAAACATAAAAAGACATACTCTTCTATTTAATTTCTATAATACACAGTGCTATAAACTTTCACAACAATAATTGTTTGAAAAAAATGCACCAGTATCTCATAGTGAAACAGTTTAGTTAAAGATATACCTCCTTCCCTGGCCTTTAATTGCTAGTTACCTTTAGGATCAAATTACATTTGTATTTTTTCAGATTATTCCTTATCTTAATGTTTTTAGCTGTCTTGAATATTCACTGCTTGCCAGAAATGCAGATTATAAATGGGCTAAATGAATGTAAATAAAATTTAGCCCAATGTAGAGAGACAGCAATGTTTGGACTGTAGCTGTAAAATACTAATGAGCCATTGTACTCTTCCTTGCTTACAATATTGCTGCAAGGAGGTGATTGGAAGTATCTGTTTATTTTAAATTAAACTCAGTTTATTACTTTGCATTTTTCCAAGAAAGCCAAATAATACACCACTGTTATTGATAAATCCATAATCCATAACATATATATATATATATGTTTTTCTTTCAGCCAGGTTTCTCCTACGTAACCAAGTTATATAACCAATATATATATCCTGGAACGTTTGTTGCGGTGGCTTTCGCTAAATGACACGCGTCCAATAGTTATTCATCCATTCTTTCATTCTTTCACTCAAAATAAACATTTCTACTTTTTATTTCCAGCCATCATCCCTCGGAGATAGGTTGGACTTCGATTTAAGAGCCACAGCAAGTTTAAAATCTTCAAGCAAGAAAGCGGACGCTCTTATGACCAACCTCGGAACCCAAGAGGAAGACGCCTCGTTTCCCGGCCGGCAGCTGTTTCCGTTGCTCCCCGGCATCCCGAGTTTGGTTGCTATGGCGCAGTCGCGATGATCGCTGCCGCGTGAAACGGGGTGCGCGCGATGGAGGAAGAGGACGCGGTGAGGTTGGGGTGTACCTGGTGGGGGGGAGGAGGTGGCGGCATTTCAGCAACGGACATTAGAGGGGAAAAAGGCGGGAAAATAATTTATTCATTTGCAGACAAATAATGTCGTCCCGTAGGAGGGATCTGTTGTTTTGTTTTTTGTTCTTTAAAAAAGCACGACTCTGTAACAGCCCGTCGGTAGCTATTGGAGGCTGTTTGCTTTTTTAAAAAAATTATTTTATTTCACCGCCAAGCTGGAGAAAGTTTAATTGGTTGAATTCAGGATCCTTTTGAGAGAGGAAAAACACAGCTTGAGGACATATTTAATCTATTCTAGGAGCTACGATCTGGATGTAAAATTGTGGAAGACCAAGTTGCAGCAGTAAAGAGGCACCGATTGCTTTCTTAACGGCCATCTAGTAATGATAGTCTGGATCTTGTGTCACTAAATTTCATCGTTTCTTGAATGTGTTGCTTGAATTTTCATCCCTTTGTAAGGTGTGTTGGGGTTGCCAAACCTCTTCCTATGCTGCTGTTCCTTGCATGGTTTGGATGCAAGGGAAAAGGGAATAAAATTTGCAACATTCAAAACCGTGTATGAAGTCATGCATCTTAATAGTGGAGTGGAATTGACTATATCTATCCGCTATTCCTTCTCCACTGTTTTATGCCCTCCCCCAATTGTGCTACCAGGGTTTGTGGATTTGAGTTGCAAAGCCAAGAAGCACAGTTGTGAGAGTAAATATTTAGTTGCATAATAGTGGTGGTAGCGCTTTGTTTTTATAAAATAAACTTCACTGCAATGAAGGGGCTTTTGTCTAGTAAACATACATAGGACTGTATGTCAAAAATTCAAGTGCAATTATATTCATGCTTAGTTGAAGGAAACGGCCCTGAATTTATTTGCAGATATGCAGGACAGTAGTAGTTTTAAAAAGCCATGTTACATGCAGATGGTATATTAGGTCTAAATAGGGTGCTTGTTGTTATATGCTGATTTTTTCCCCTTAAATATTTATTGCATTGTGCATTTGGATAGAATGAAAAGTATGGACATTTTCACATTGTTTTAGAGAGACTACAATGAACCTTGTGGATATTGTTCTGCTGTCAGCTGGAGCATTACAGAAGAAGGCAGATTTTACTGCACATCTTGCCACACCGTCATAGAAGTAAGGTTGCTGTTATTTACTTCCCAATTTTAAAATTCACCTTAAGTTTAAGTGTAAATCTTTAAATATTAATTATTAACATCAAATACATGAATGCAATCTATTAACTTCTTAAATAGTTGTACATCTGGTCTAATTGTTTTAGCTGAATAATTTTGGGCATATGTATTAACAATACATGTTTTCAAAACTTGCAGAAGACTAGAGAAGTTCAAACTGGTGATGTTATTACTAATGCAAGGGCACAGTCTATCTCTAGAGGATTAAGAAAAAGGAAGAATAAATTTGGTAAGATTTATTTTTTTATCAGTCTATTATAAAAGTATAAAATATAATTTTCCCATCATATACAGCTAATGCTGAATAAGTTTACAGCCTTCTCATCCAATATGGTGTGCTTGTTTATATCAGTTATATCAGTTTATATCAGGGGGTAATAAATACAATCTGTGGGTTATAGGTTTATAATAAATATAATCTATGTGTTATAGATTTATTCATAGCTGGAGTTTTAGCATCAGCTTACGAAACTAATCCTCTAGACCAGGGGTACTAGCCTGTGGCCCACTGAGAACCAGGCTGTGCAAGCAGTATGTGTGTGTGTGTGGGGGGGTGTTTTTCACAAGCAGGTGTGTGCAGAAAACAATCCCCCCCCCCCAGCCAGTCTGCAGAGCCAGAAATGTTCTCTAGACACATGGTTACACTGTGGTAAGAATCTGAAGTCATTAACTTATATCGAGATAATTTTATTGTGTTTTCTAAAAATCTTCTTTTGCAAGACTACATTTCGGAATCTTTTTTTTTTTAATTCTCAAAATTGAGGATATGTGTTTCACAATCAGTACTGTTAAAAGTGCATTAGGACTCGTATTTATTAAAAACAACTATATATAGGAAGACTATATAGAGTAATAATAGATTCAAGCATGCCAAATGTATTCAAACAAAACATGTAAATTGATTATGACTCTTCCAGATTATGAGACAGAGCACTGATTTGGCTTTTGGATCTAAATAGTTTTCTCTACTTTTGCATCTTAAAAACAAGAACAATGCTGCAACTTTTGCCATTTTTTTCAATCTCTAACATCTAGGGCAATGTTGGTGAACCTTTTCGGCACCGAGTGCCGAAACGGGAGAGTGCGCGCACAGAGGAGCACTGGAAACTGGAAGAGCAATTTTCCAGCATGTGTGCCAGTCACCTGGTCTTCCAGTTTCTGGTGCACATGTGTGTGTGTAAGGAGTAGCTGGCCAGCGCGCAGTGTTAAAATTTAAGGTTCAGTTTTTAAAAAATTAGCCTTGCAGACACATGGGTACATAGTGAGTTAAAAAAAAGTATCCTGGAGAAAATGGATTATTTCAAATCTCTTCAGTACAGGTAGTTCTCGAATTATGATAGCTATAGGGCCTGGAACAGTCATCTCTTAAGTGATGCAGGGAATGTTAGCAGTCATGATCACATCATGGCAGCTTACTACAACAACCAGAACTCGGGACCTATCATAAGTCTCCCTTGTGCAAGTTTGAAAAGTCACTGAATAAGCGATTGTAAGCTAAGGACCACCTGTGTTAGCTGAAACAGCACTGATCATGCTTTTCAGTTATTTCTATTGGAGCTGGGAAGGGGGTGGTGTGAGGACCTTAATTCTTGATTGCTGAAGACTCTTCAAGGGCTTTAACTATTGATCAAGGTATCCTTCTGGAGCACCTGCAGGAATGAGGTGTAGGAGACACTTGTACATGGGTTCTCCTTTCTTCATGGTTGCGTTCAGATGTTGTTGTTGAAAGGCAGAAATTGAGCTTAACGCCCCTGAGAAGTAGAGTGCCACAAGGCTAAATACTCTTGACCCTTCTGTTTGAAATCAGTATGAATCTCCTGGATAAGGTCATCTGTCATTTTGGGATTGGGTATAACCAGTATGCTGATAATACACATCGTGTAGGATTTTTGGTATGATACAAAGGTGGTTTGTCATTGTCATCTTTTAGATCTATCTGGTAGGTAGATGTTGATTGTGCAATTTATCTTTGTCTGTTTTCAGTATTTGCTCCCTAATGTTTAACAACCTATTCTTAAAAATTCATAAGATTTCACTTTTTCTTAATTTTCAGATAAAGGCTGGGAATGGTTTATATGTGAAGGTTTTCAGTATATTCTTCGAAAACAAGCTGAAGCTCTGCAATCTTTAGGAGTTTCTTCTCAGATGAAGGTATTTTGCTTTTTTCCTAATGAAGTTAATCACAGTTTTTTTAAGCATTTGAAAAATAAAGCACTTTTCTGTGTTTACACAGTCTGCTAGACTATGGTTAGGTTCCTGCAACATACACTAAGCAAACCAAAACATAAAAAGCCCACATAATGGCTTTGTGGGTTTTTTTTATATATAATCTGGAATCTTGATTTAGAATAAGAAGGAAAAACCTCCCAAATATCTGTTATGCACATTTCAAGTAAGTGATATGTGAAGGATAAAGTTTTCCTAAAAGTTCTTTGTATTATAATTATTATTTGATGTTTGGGATGTAATAGCATTTATCTATTATTAGATTTGGAGACTGTCCAACTCACAGAAAACTCTGGGTGGCTTACAATAAAAACAGAAAGATCAGTCAATAAAAAAGCATCCATGTCTGAAAAAATAAATAACTAAGCATACACCAAACAGACAATACAATACAATAATATTTATTTGGTCAGTGACCAGCAAAATATAAAAGAATGAAAACAATGAAACAAGTAGATACAATGATATGCTAATAACTGGCCAAAAAAATAATAATCACATAATGTAACATTCATTCCTCTTACTGTATCAATGCATTTATTATCCAGTGGTACACATCTAAAACACTAATAGCTATAAAATTAAAAACCATATATCCCATAACAATTTATTAGTTACAATGTATAAAACAAAAAAAAGTTTAAAACAAAGGTAATACATTTTTAATCTATTATGTCTTATGTTCATCATAGCAACACAGTTTAGCTACTGCATGCGTAGTAAATTATTTTAGATCCTGAAAAAGAAGGTACACATAAAATTTATCTGACCTCTCAGGGAATTTATTAGGGACAAAACATAGATTAATAAACTAACAAAGGCTAGGCACCTACCCTAGTTAAGCCCAGGCCCGGGAGCAGAATCACCTTTTTAAGTACTTGAAAAACAGTTGTAGAGTTGGAGCTGTACAAATCTTCAGGGGATGCTCTTCTAGAGGGCAAGCGCTGGAACAGAAAGGAGGTACTGCCCAGGTCCTGATAAGACTCAGTTTAATTAATTGGACCTATGTACTCCGCTTGAGCTCACTGGGCAATCAGAAATTATCTGACACATGGACCCTCAAATAAAGAGACCCTGGTAGTGACCAGGCCCATGAATTGAACCCGGAAGCCAACTGGCAACCAGTGCTGTACATGAAGCAGAGTTGATATATAACCAGAACATGACATGTCCATTGCTGTCTGTGCCATCACATTCTGTAACTTCCAAGTGGTGTTCAAGGGCAGCCACATATAGAGTAATCTTTTTAGTGATAGAGTTGTTGAGAGATGGTTAGGACATGAGTAACTAAGGACCTCCCACTCAACTGTGTAAACCTTTTTAAATTCATGGGCTAATATTTATTTACCAAACTTAGAGATCACCCATCTCATTTACAGAGCTACTCTGGGCAATAAAACTAAAAACAGAGATATTAATGCTTAAGGTGAACTTATTACCCATCAATATTTTTAACCAATTTGAATGAATGAGTGAGGAATATTGCAAACCAGCAATACTGTATATCTACTTTTTTCCTTTTTATATTTTCCTTTTTTCCCCTTTCTATATTAAAATATTAAAATCCATCGTTTAATGTGAGTTCCACCATATAGATAACCTCATCAAAATGGATGAATGACAAAGCCTCTTGTGTACTAATATTAATGAATAATATGCTGGTTCTTATCAGGATGAAGTTCTGTATAATTTTTGGAGACGATATCTTCACAAGAGCAAAGAGGCTTATAGTGACAAGACTCTCGGTGATGTTACTCATGATATTTCATCCGTAAGTATAGTGTTCAAGAGAAATAATAACTACCTTCTTTACATCTATACAGTTATATAGCATTTATATAAGAGCCATAATGGAGCAGTGATTAAAAAGCAGTATTGCACGCTAAGACTGCCAGCAGTTTGGCAGTTTGAATTCTGCTCAAGGTTGATTCAGCCTTCCATCCTTCTGAGGTCAGTAAAATGAGCACCCAGATTGTTGGGGGCAATATGGTGACTCTGTAAACTGCTTACAGAGGGCTGTAAAGCCCTGTGAAGCGGTATATAAGTCTAAGTAAGTCCTATTGCTATATAAACATATTACACCAAAACTTAAATGGTACAAATCACACTTGCCTTGCAGTTCCTTGAAAATATGCATTTGCTACTATCTTTGACAAAATAAGCTAATTTTATAGTAATTTTTAACAATTCTTAAATTTTCTGGTTTCCATAACATTTTCTTAAGTCTTATTGAATAATAGCTAAGATACGTGTTTCCAGAAGGTGGCTATTAGTTTGATGTAGCAAAAACAGCAGTGCTTGTGATTTCTCAAGTATTGACAGGTATTGAAGCACAACCTTTTGTGTACATTATCCGATGTAATTCATGGGCGGGTTGAAGTCCATGAAAACTTACATTGTTGCATAGCTTATCATCCTTTAAGATTCCACACTGCTTGGTATTGCTTTTTAAATGCATTGGTACTTCAGTGATGAAAGGTACAATGATGAGGTAGTCCTCAGTTAATTACCACTTGTTCAGCAACTAAACTTGTGATGGTACTGAATGTGGGGGGGATTTATAATCAGTCCTCAAAGTTCTGGCTGTTCCAGCTCCCTCGTGTTCATGTGATGGTGGTCCAGGTGCTTGGAATCAACTCACACTTAAACAATGATTGCAGTGTCCTGCAGTTACATGGTTTGCATTTGTGACCTTTGCCAGCTTCCCACAAAGCCAATGGGAAGCTGGCAGGGAAAGTCACAGGTCACGCCTGTAAACCGCTTCTCTTGCTTTTCCTCCGGAGGAGGCCCTCAGGAATCTTGCACTCCATAGCATGTGCCCACCCACCTACACTCTGTAACATACACACTCCCACACTTGTGTGATGCAGCCACCCTCCCATGCTTATTCATGCACACTTCCCACGTGGAACTTTATCATTAACCTGGGGAAGCAGGCAGAGAATTTTGCAAATGATGATCACGTGATCACAGGGCACTTGGCAACCAATTATAAATGCAGAGAGGTTGCCAAGCACCCAAAATGCAGTGACATTATTGGGGGAGGGCAACACAATATTTTATGACATCTGGGATAAAACAGCCATTCCATGGCTATTACAACTGAATGGTTATAACCTTGACTGGTTATAAGTCAGTGACTACCTGTAGATGGGAAGAGTATCGCCTTGGAAGAGTATACACACACTTGCTGTAATTCAGTAATTTAAGCATAGATTATATATAAATGCTTATAATTGTGACTGCGTGAGAGTGCAAGTAGCCCTTGCTTACTGATGATTCATTTAGCCACTCTTCGAAGTTACAACACTATTGAAATTTGCAACCTTCAAAATCACATGATCATTAGAGTCAGTATATAATGTCCTGTGCCTGATCTTTGGGTTTTTTCTTCCTTTTCTCCCTTTCAAAGCAGCAATCTTGGAGAAAGGGATTGCAGAAAAGTAAGCTGTTTGCTCTTCTCAAAAACAATGCAATTCAGCCAGCAGACTGGGACTGGGAACCATTGGCACGCTATGCAAACAGTTTACAGTACTCTCTTGAAATCCCTTTATCTCTAATCTCTCTGCTCTGGGGGGGGGGGGAGGTAGAGCCATTTCTCTAGGCAATCTCTGTTTTGCCTGACACACACACACACACACACACACACACACACACACACACACACACTACACACAGTAGAGAAATTGGAAAGGAAAGGAAGGAATTTTGAGAGAGTAAGATGTTTCTTCTACGCATGAAAATTGTGCTGGCAGTGAGAAAGTCAGACAAAGGAGAGAAATTACTTGCTTTTTTCTCTCTTGCTGCCATATGAAACAGAGAGATTGGAAATCAAGGTATTTCAAAAGAATAAGAGGCTATTTGTATAGCATGGCAATGGCTTCCAATCCCAGGCTGTGGCATGATTGAGTTGCTTTTGATGTACAAGACAATAAGCAGGCACTGGAGCATTCCAAAAGGGAGGGAGGAGTTAGGAGGCAAACAAAAGCAGAAGATATGAAACTGACTAGTCTTATCTCCTTCCATCCAAAAGCACAATGGGACGTCACATGATTTCCTACTTAATGACCACTTTGGTTAGTGACAGAGTGGCTGGTCCCAATTAGGGTCGTTAAGCAAGGACTACCTGTATTGACATGAACTTAATAACTCAAAGAAAACAATGTGTCTTTTTTTACTCACATCTACTATGTATCAGTTGGTATAAATGTAAGGTGTCTTAAAATATCTGCAACTAATTTACACTTTCTATGTATAAAATGTTTATTCCATTTTTTTTTTTTTTGGTATCTTATTATTTTGATGTCTTTAGTTTTCCTAATACATAGTTTTGATTGAATTGCTGATAGTACATTTTAGTTGTTTTTGTTTTATTTCTACTTGCATCTTGTAAGAAAATCAGTAAAAAGCAAGCAATTCATTGAAAATTTTAGTTTTTACAGAAATAATTTTGCATTAACTGGGCAAAATGCTCCCTTTCTAAAAATGTGTTCTGTTTGATATCTTGCTTAGCAAATTAAAGTTTTTGAATAATAAGGCTTGATTTAATAAAGAAGAAAGAATCCCCTTGAATTCTAGATTAACGTTGTTGTTGTTATTATTATTATTAAACTATTTTTAATAGCACACAGACACTGAAACAGAAGTTGAAAGTACTAGCCCGATTAATTTGACTTGTTCAACAAGTGATATAGATGTGATATCAGAATTTAGCACTGCTGCTGCTTCTTCTGTTAGTAAATCATCAGGTAAGAGCAAATATACCTTGTTTAGTTCTTTGTGTAGTTACTTGAGATATGAAAATATATTTCTATTTGATTACTTTGGAGATTTAAGCATGCAATCTTCATGTCTGTGTAGAAAAATTATAGAAAACATGGTCTAAGAATTAACCCTAAGAATAATGGGGGAATAAACAAATTATACAGAAACAATTTTTTGATTGCCAGACTGGGAATTCCTGTACATTGCAGAAAGCTCCAAGGAAGTTTTCTTGAGCAATATTTCCCATTTAGAATTCTCTCAGTAGATTTAGGTACACAATTCAAAGTATGGTCAATATGAAGGAAGATGTATTCCAACCCATTTGGAAGGAACGTGAGTACTGCTTGAACACAAAATGAGTTTTGTGTCTCATTTTGTGGCTAAAGCAAATACCAGGGAGAAGACTGAATCATAGGTTTTATAGGTCATGCTGCCACCTGAAGGTGTAGTCTATTACACTGCTACCAGCTGTCCCAAAATGTGTCTTTTTTCTTGAGGGTTCATTTAATATGCGTTGATAAATTATGTAGGCTGTCCTATAGAATTAACAAATAGTATAAAAATACATGTAAACCATCTAATTATTACTGTAGAAGTTCTAACAATATAATCTGGAAGACCATCAACACTATGTAGTCTTTCTTTTTACTGTGTACATTGAATAAATTAGAATCTAGGTCTAAAAGTAAATTATATGAGTAAATATAATGCAGGGAAAATTAAATCTGAATCCTTCTAATATTGTTCTTGTGGTTGGGAGATTTCTTTACTAATTACTGTAGGTATTATGGGATCTTGGAGTTTTAAAATGTTTGTTAACTAAAATTAGTTAACATTAGTTAACTAATTAATTAACAAAACTAACATTAGTTTAGTTAACAAAAATGGCAAGTTGAAATTTTCCACTTGATGCAGGTGCATAGACATTGTTGGGAAGCACATTAAATTTGTGGCTTGTCAAGACATATAATATGGTGAATTAGATTTAGTGCTGACTGTCTAATCTGTTTTATATAAACTGGAACAAAGAAAATGAAAGACTGCTAGCGTGATGTTTTTAACATGATGGCTACAAACAGAGCACAAAGAATTGCATTTTGAACTTAATCTGGAGTTAGTGATAGAATTTATATCAGCGATATTTTTAAGACATAGCCTGTGTGTTAAAAAAGGCAGAACAGATCCCTGAAAAGATTAACTGAGCTTCATAGTTTTTCTTTTGTGAGTTATATATGCATCATACCCAAAACAATTCTTATGGTTCCTTCTAGTTTTTAGAAGTCATGATCTAGAGAGTATTTCCTTAGTAACTATATTCAATCTAAACAAAGGGACTTTGTCTTTAAACAGAGACAGTAAAGGCAGCTTGAAACTGAGTGTGGTAGAATGCTGCTATTAATGGATTTAATTAAGTATATACATTGAAAATAAAATATGATCAATAAGAAATATGAATACCTTGCTAGATTTTGGAAAAGATGGGAAACTATACTACAGTCCCATTGAGATTTTGTAATATGTTTCTGGGTAAGATATTGCTAGCTCTTAATCTGTTATATTTGTGTCCTGCCTTTTATTCAATAGCATAAGGCATAATGTTTCCTCCTCCTGTTTTTTACCACCATCACCCCACCATAACGCTGTCAGGTACTTTGAACTGTAAGAGTAATCCATTGATTCCATGGTTGAAGATGGACTAGAACATGGGTCTTCCCACCCTTAATCTTATTACCTACTAAATTGCAGTGGCTCTCAGTGTGATTAAAAAATATTTTATAAAATACATAAAATATATGTTCAAACTATTTAGGGTAGAGGTTAAATGTATACATCAAAAAAAATCATAAGCCTTTATAGCTAACTTGCTAAATTTGGCAATAGGATATCTTCCAGCTGTTTTAAACTAAAATTCCATTATTTCTGGTCTTGGATGAGGTAGCATCCTTCTCAAGACTGTTGCGCTATCTCAAGGGTGTCAAATTTGTGGCCCACAGGCCGGATGTGCTGACCACTTCCATGCCCAGTTTAGGGAAGGGGGGAAAGTTGTGATACTATGTCACGTGGCGACTCTGTGACAACCCGAGTTTGACACCCCTGTGGTATCTGGAAGTTGTCTTGAATTCTCAGCACGCTCTTTCTATATGTAAATTAATTCACATATGGATATGTTATAATCTGTACATTTATTATAAAAGTTGTGGACAGGTATAATTCTGAAACATTCGTGTAATTTGTGTCTTGTTGATTGACTGTCCAATAAATCTCTGCAGTTTTAAATAGGAGTTCCTGAGGTGGAACAGATGCTAATTTTATAGTGCCTTTTATATGTGGGTGCAGAGGCAAGAAAGAATTACTGTTTTTCCTCCTACTGATCTTGCGATTGAATGCTCATATTTCATTGATGTAATATTTCCTCCATTGTATGTATATTAAATGATTGTAGCTGTAGCAATTTTTTTTTTTTGAGGAATAAATACTTCTGTTCCTTACTTTTAACTGTATAAATCAGTTTAATTGGTAATATGCAAGCTTCAAGTGAAGCCATGTAGGCTTAATTATTTGTGTTAATCTTTGAAGTTTATGTATGTCCCTTTGCTATCTTACTTGCTAGGCTGAAAAATTAAACCAGTGGAGGGATGCTAATGTACTCCTTTTAAACAGGCATGGTTTGTTATTTCTGCAGCTTTTTTCAATCTGGATGCACTGTAGAAAGGTTAACTTTCTTTATCTTACGGAACTCTTTTTGTAGCAAAATCTGGCTGGTCCGGATCAGTGGACGGCAGTTCATATTTACAGAAAAAAAGGAAAGGGGATCTGAGCTTGTCCATGCCGATGACTCTGGCTTTCTGTTCTCTGGCATTACTATGGCTGAGGGAATCCATTACATTATCAGATCTTTTAAGGTAATAAAAATAACGTCTAATAAATATTTGGGTTATAATCCTACTTCTACTTCTGCATTGAATTTATGCGTCAGGGCGAAAAGTTATCATTAGTTGCACCAAGTAAAACATGTCACTTTTTTATTCAGCTATGAATTAGTAGATTTACAGTACATACTTAAAATATTTGTTGATTGCCTTTTTAACTTACAGGATCAATTACAAATACATATATGTGCTAGTCAAACAAAATAGTTTGAACTAGTACCGGTCATTAATTGCAAACCCAAAGCAGGATAGAAGTGCCTTAATTTATCTTTGAAAAGGGGTCATTGAACTAATTCACATTTCTGCATTTGTCTGTCTCCAAATACTCAGTCCGTGCTGCATGATCTATCACCCATCTCCTCCCACTTATGACTGTATGACTGTAACTTTGTTGCTTGTATCCTTACGATTTATATTGTTTCCTAGTATGATTTGATTGCTTATTTGTACCCTATGATTATCATTAAGTGTTGTACCTTATGATTCTTGACGTATGTATCTTCTTTTTATGTACACTGAGAGCATATGTACCAAAGACAAATTCCTTTTATGTCCAATCACCCTTGGCCAATAAAGAATTCTATTCTATTCTATTCTATTCTACTCTACTCTACTCTACTCTACTCTACTCTACTCTACTCTACCCTACCCTACCCTACCCTACTATCCTATCCTATCCTATCCTATCCTATCCTATCCTATCCTATCCTATCCTATCCTATCCTATCCTATCCTATTAAACATGCCTATGTTGGAATGTAGAGTTATCTCAGCTAGTAGAATGCAGCCAGAAAGACTAACCCTGATAAGTTAGGATACTTTAATATAATATTTATCATGGATTAGGGAATGTCAGAAATGAGCACATCTTTAAAAAGTTTATAAAACTAACATTAGTTCTGTGTTGTGAATGAAACTGTAATACATGTATTGATTTTACTTTAATCTCCTTAACCCAGGTTGGTAATGGATGGTCACATTCCTTACTTGAATGCTTTTAAAGAGTTCCCAGAGGAGATGAAGATGTATGGATCTGACTTTAAGATCTTTCATGTGCAGGTGACTATTACTGATACGTAATATATGAGTATTTGTTTGTCTACTGCATTTTGGATTCAATTTCTAGGTGGCATTTCAGAGTGCATGGGGGTATGTCTTTCACATGTTAAAATAGCTGATTTGAGATTGAATTAAAAGTGCTGCATAGTCATCTTTTTACAGGTTAGGTAAAGAGCCATGGTGGCACAGTGGTTAGAATGCAAAACTGCAAGCTAACTCTGCCCACCGCCTGGAGTTCGATCTTGACTGGCTCAAGGTTGACTCAGCCTCCCATCCTTCCGAGGTTGATAGAATGAAGACCTAGATTGTTGGGGACAATAGGCTGACATTTTAAACATCTCAGAGAGTGCTGTAAAGGACTATATGAATGCTATTGCTGGTAGGGCACTTGGCAACTGGGATTTATTTACAGCCATTTGCAGTGCCCCACAGTCACATGAGCGCGATTTATGGTAGTTTTGCTGGAAGCAGACGTTTATTTCTGGTTCTGCAAAAACCAGCCTTTAGCAAACAATGAGTTCACTTAATGACCATGACATTCATTTTATGACCACCACAAAAAAGGTCATAAAATTCAATCTAATTATTTGATCACCCTCTTTACAACCGTCAACAACTGGTCATGCAGTTTTGTTAACAATGATAATCTTTCAGTGTTCTTCTATGTGAATTATTTGTATTAGGTTTTTATATATATCCAACTCTTACTGAAGTGTATACTGGTTATATAACAGAATTAACAGAGTTGGAAGGACCTTGGAGGTCTTCTAGTCCAACCCCCTGCTCAAGCAGGAAACCCTATACCATTTCAGACAAATGGCTGTCAGATCTCTTCTTAAAAACCTCCAGTGAAGGAGCACCCACAACTTCTGAAGACAAGCCTTTCCACTAGTTAATCGTTCTAAGGGAATTTATCCTTAGTTCTAGGTTGATTCTTTCCTTGATCAGTTGCCATCCATTGTTTCTTGTCCTGTCTTCTGGTGTTTTGGAAAATAGGTTCACCCCTCTTTGTGGCAGCACCTCAAATATTGGAACACTGTTATATCACTCCTAGTCCTTCTTTTCATTAGACAAGACGTACCCAATACCTGTAACCATTCTTCATATGTTTTAGCCTCCACCTCCCTTAATCATCTTTGTTGCTCTTCTCTGCACTCTTTCCAGAGTCTCAACATCTTTTTTATATTGTGGTAACCAAAACTGGATGCAATATTCTATTCTATGGTCTTATCAAGACATTATAAAGCAGTAGTAACACGTGATCTTGATTCTATCCCTCTGTTAATGAAGCCTAGGATTGCATTGGCTTTTTTGGTGGCTGCAACACACTGCTGGCTTATACTTAAGTGATTTTGTCTACTAGGAGCCCTACTCACAATTGCTTCTGCTGAGTCAGGTTTACATAAATCAGTATGTGTTGCAATTTATATACTGAAAACAAGGCAGGAGGGGAAAAAGGATGATATTTCACCACAAAAGAAGATGTATTGTGAAATCTCTGCATCAAAATCAAATTTGCATCATAATCTTTTAAGGAGAAGGAAACTCATCCAATGAATGCAATAGAACATTGCCAGGCTGAAGGATCTTAAATTGCAAAATGCAAATAATACAGAAAATAATCAAAAAAAGTGATTAAGGTCAAGCCTAGTATCCATAAAGACTACGTTGCAAGTTGAAACTTGGAAGTTGATGTAACTCTCAGTTACTCCACTCATAAGCCAACTGTAAAAAAAAACTTTCTGTGGTCTATTCGTGAGGAGCAGCTATCCAAAATAACATGAATAATCTCAATGATCTCTCCTTTGTTCTGGCGAGATTACACCAACTTGGATCCAGCATCCAGTGGCTATTCCATTTGCAAAACTGTATGACTAACCAACAAAAACCAGCAAAGCAAAGGTGGCACAATGGTTAGAATGCAGTATTGCAGAGTTTAATCCTGACAGGCTCCAAGTTGACTCAGCCTTCCATCCTTCCGAGGCCAGTAAAATGAGGTCTCAGATTGTTGTCAGCAACATGCTAACTCTGTAAACCGTTTAGAGTTGTAAAGCACTGTGAAGTGGTATATAAGTTTTAAGTGCTATTGCCAACTGCTATTCTCTTGCCATGGTGCATACAAGAAGTCAATTCATTACAACTTTGTTCATGTGGTTTTTGTAAAACTACAGGTAGTCTTTTTTTGGGTTGAGCCTGGCAACTCAAGTCATTAAATGAAACTGCCACTGTACTCAGTCTTCCTTCAATTTTGCTCTACAGGTAGTCCTCAACGTTTAGCAATTGTCTGAAGTTACAACAGTACTAAAAAAAAATGACTTGCGATCAGTCCTCACACTCACACTGTTGCAGTATCCTCACAATCACATGATTATGATGCAGCATCCTGGGGTTACCTGATCGCCATTTGCAACTTTCCCAGCCAGTGTTCAATAAGCAAAGTCAATGGGGAAGCCAACAGGGAAGATTGCAAATCATGATGACGTGATGTCTTGTATAACAAGAGGTTGCAGAACGTAATGCCTCATTTACTGACCACACTGTTTAATGTTGAATTTTCCAGTCCCAGTTGTGGTTGTAAATTGACAATCCTCTGCAAGGATTGGTCATACAGTTTCATTTTCATCCTCATTGTAATTCCAAATGGTTGCTAAATGAGACAGTTGCTTAACAAGGGCTATATGTACAACATTCTGCCCATCAATTCTTCAACAAAATGATTAGCTGAGTCTGTACTGACTATTATCTAATTTCCATCCACATTTCTTGGTTTATTCTTTGTCTTCCAGTAAAGCACCATCTCATTTATTTTATTTTTTATAACAATTCTATAACTGGCTCAACCTTCCATGCTACTCCTTTCTGTCAAAATCATTTTGTGTCACAGGTCCTTATCAGAGCTGAGTTTTGAGAAAAAAATAATTGTTTGAAAATTATAAGAAAGCAGCTCCCCCCCCCAAAAAAAAGTCAATTCCTTTGCACCCCTTCCAAAATTGAATCTCCCTGTCCAATGAAAGCATCTTGGTAAGAGTTGTTAAGACCTCCCTCTCCATTGAAAGTTTGCCTGTTTGCCTGCCTACCTGCCATCTATCTATCTATCTATCTATCTATCTATCTATCTATCTATCTATCATCTTGTATAGTTGCCAATCTCAGCAGAAGTGACTCGGCATGGATGAGATGATACACATTTTCTGGGGCAAACTCTGGCTTTGGCACTCTGTAGCTCCAAAGGTTGATTAAGCTGTTTTTGCAGTGGTATTTGACTTTCCACTGGGACTTCAAAGTTGACATTGACCCTTGGTGATGTGTGTGTGTGTGTGTGTGTATTGAATTACTTTTGGAAGTAATTCTTAATGTGTTAACGATCTATCTATCTAGAGTCTTTTGATTTTGATGGGCTATAAAAATGGTCAGATCATAGGCCCAATTTTAGAGTCCAGTTTGTCAGCATCTAGTTGAGTTTTTGCAAGTACCTTCCTCCTGCTTCGAGTCAATAGCATTTAGCAAGTTGGTCAATAGAGCATGATTACCAGCTCAATGTGGGGTGGCTATATGGAGATAAACAGGAAGTTCCGGATGCAGGTGTTTGTCATTTTAAATGTTTAAAGTTCTCTCTAACATGACATACTGTGCTCATTTTAATGAGGCACTTATGCGACTTGAGACTGTCTACATTTTGGCCAGTGCTATTTTCTTGTAATGCCTATATGAACTAGCACGTCAAATAATCAGAATTTTGGTTTTTTTCCCCCTCCTTTCATGCCATTTAATAACTTTCTCATCTGTCCGGTTAATATTTTGGAACTGGAAGCACTTTTTCGTATGTATTTTCAAATTTTCTATTGTCGTATTTAAAAAAATATAGACCAGTAATGAAAGGAAAGATCCTTTATCTTCTAATATTTACAATCATGAAATCAGAAGGTGGGCAGGTAGCATTTTATTGTCTCTCTCTTGAAACAACTTCAAAAATGACAGTAAGCAAGGGTGAGGCTCTTTAAAAAGAGCTGAGGAGGAAGTTCGCTTCTGACATTTATTTTAATCAGGTTTATCATTGGAATCTGCTGTTGTGTAACAGAAACTCTTGCTTGTCCTTACCTGTTGAAGCATTGCTTAATAGAGAAGGAAAATGGGTTGACTTGAGACGTGTGTCCTTTAATATCTATCTTTGTGTCTCTGAGGGAGTGACGCTACATTATTGCCTTAAACTGTTGTGGCTTTATTGGCTTCCCAATATATTTGCTAGTTAAAATAACGTTAATCTGAGCATTGTCAATAGCAGTATACAGTGGCTGCTACTCTAAACATCCATGTAGAATTTACATGTTTCCTCTGCTCACTAGAATTCATAAATAGTTGTGGTGGTAATTTAGAGTTGCATGGCATAACTGATGCCCCTATACATCATTTCTTTCCTAATGGTGCAGATTGCCTAAGTGGATCTGCGATTTGGATTGCAGAATTGAATGCAACAAAGAAGCTTAGCATATGAGAGACACAATGAGACTAAAACGGAGCAGTTATATTTTCATAGTGTGAATTGGAACCTGATAGTCTTTTGATACCTTTCATGATTGATGAAGCATCCCAATTAGGATGTAGCATCTGCTCCAGATTAAAATAAGAATGGGTTAAAAGTGGGGAGAGAGAGCAGACTGAGCCATTAAAATTATCATGCTCAACACAACTGAATTGCTTTTAAGTTCAACATTTCCCTCCCTCCCCCAAATGTTGCTTTCCTTTGTTAAGCCTTGATCTATATGAATTATGTTTGCTTCTCCCACTGTCACCTTCTCTCTCTTGTTTTTCTTCTTCTCCCTCCCTCTCAAGACAGTTGCATTTCACTGGTATTGCCAGGCCTGTAATTTGTGACATTGAGAAAATTTTGGAATTTTTCCATTGTCACTGAGCTACTTTTGTAGCTCTTTGTACTATATATTGTTTATTCCTTGGAGCGATTCAGGATATTAAGCAGTTCTCCAAGTTAAGCAGTAGGTGTT